CAGAAGAGCATCATCCCTCTGCCCTACAGCCCCCAGCCAGCATCCTGGAGCCGGTACCTACCTCCATCCTTGCAGGAAGGGCCATTTCCAGCCCAGCGATGCCTTTCCCACAGGCACTGACCCACGCCCCCCCGGCAGCAGAGCAGGATGCTCCGTGGCTACTCACCCATTCCCCAGCAGCCTGAGCCGCCGTACCCTTTCCATCCCCGCTGCGTTTTCCACTCCCATTCCTCTCCCCAAGTGATAAATCCCTGACGGCAGCTGGCTGTTTGTCCTTGGAAGCTGCCTACCAAGATTTTCCCACCAAAAGTGGTGAAGTGACAGACCAGAGACATTTGCCGGCCAAGGAGGATGAATCAGCTCCAAAGTGCACACGGAGGGATCCCCTCCTGTGGCTGGCAAACAGCGAGAGCTCCCACTTGAGTCACATGGATTTTGGCTGCCGGGAGAGCGGAGAAAAGCGCAAAGCCGGAGCGGGCAGGACATCCCCAGCCTTGAGGGCTGGCCACGATGAGCCTCCCAGCCCGATGCACGGCTGCTGATGCTTTACGTGCCCTGCTGCGCTCAGCCCAGAGCAAAGCTCCCCTCCCAGAGAAAACAAAAGGCTTCCTGAGATTCAGCCCCAGCCTGAAGCCGGGGACTTCTCCAAACTGGCGAGCAGAAAGAAAATGCACAGTAAGGGCATGAGCAAAGCACAGCCAAAAGAGCCGGTAACGAACGATGGTGGTGACCTAGCACCTCTTCTCAGCTGTGAGAAGACGCTCCCTGTCGGCCAGTGCGGGCTGCAGGATCAGCCCCATCCCTGCCCACAGCATCCCTCCCGATGCGCAGGATGCTCCAGCTCACGCCTTGCAGGACCATGGAGCCTCTGACCCCTTCGGTGCCTAATCCCAGCGAAAGATCAAGGGGAAAGCCCCTCTTCTCCGGTCCTTGCAGGCTCTGCCCGTGCAACATCACGTCAAGGCTACCCAGCTCCCAGCCCCTGCTGCCGTCTGACACGCTCATCCAGGGGCCTTTTCCCTTCCCCAGAACTGTTCCTGCCTCCTGCCAGGAAAAATGAATCAACGCCTGGCTCTGCCCGTTAATGCCAGGAGCTGCCACGTTCCTGCCAGCTTAGAAGGGAGGGATGCGCCCCATCCCTGCCTTGCGACCCACCCACACTGCCACGTCTCGCTCTGCACCAGCTGAAATCCCACATCCGCCCGTTGCCCCTCTCTTTTCCCTGACCGAGCCCACCGGGAAGCCCCGGCAGCTCCGCTCCTGCCCAGACGACAGCAGGACAAGCCCAGCTCAAACACACAGACGGCCACAACACTTCACCTTCCAGTCCGGGGGCAGCTGGGCGCCGAATCCCAGAGCAGGAAACATCTTGTCTCTAGAAGAGAAGAAGAAAAACGGTCCGGGTGTGTTTACACACACACGAGCAGGCTTGCACGGCTCTTGCTATGGCCTCCCCATGTTACCAGCTGCCCAACGCCCAACTGCAGCAAAAACGCCAGCTAAAAAGGATGCCAGCCTTCCCTTCTCCCAAAACAGCACAGCGCCTTCAAAAGCCACGAGAGCTGAACAGAGACAGAGTAAATGTTCCCCTTTGGCTTTTGATCTTTAGACAGAAAAGACTCCAGCTTTGCCTCGTCACCCACAGGGACCAGGAGCGTCCTCTCGCCCAAACACCTGAGTCTCTTGCTGATGTGTAACCCTGGAGATTTAAAAAAAATTAACTATAGAGCGTGGCGAGACTAACAGATTTCTGTTTTGTTTGCTCTCTTGATGTCTAAGATGATATTTTTCCATGTGGCACACCTCAGGGCGGGTGGGGAGCAAGGCAGCTCGGCGGTGCAGCTGCCAACAGCAAATACCAGCAAGCTGAGGGCATCTCCTCTGCGCCGAGAGGGCACCAAGCAGCTGCTCTCCAGCTGCTCCCCGTGAAGGATGCTCCACCTCTGGTAACGCAACCTTCCTCTGAACAGCGGTGATGGCGGGGGGGGAGGAGAAACCCTGTCCTGACCCTCTCCTCCTCCTGCATCCCAGTGTACATGGCAATTTTCTCCCAAGGAGCTTTTCAAAAGCAAGGTTCTGCAGACGGGAAATTGAGGCACATGCATCCCCGCAGCCCCTCGGGAAGGCAGGGAAGGGTCAGCAAAGCAGGGGTGGAGGCAGAAGGGCACGGTGCTTACGAGTCATAGTCCTGGATGATCTGGCCGACAGCCCAGATAGCCGACAAGTACTCGTTTGTCCCCAGGGGGTTGATGTAGTGCAAAGAGGAGGGTTCTCGCGGGTTCCCGTTGGAGGCTGTGAAGTCAATCCCAACCTGGCGGACAAGAGAGAAGCACAGAGCCGTCCTCCATTAGCAGACACCACCACAGACTGGGCCACCGAGCCGCCATTACCTTTGAGGTCCACACAGTCCCCTCAAGACCCAAACCTCAAACTTTTGGAGGAGTTTAACAAAATCCAGCTCTTCACCTTCCCTAAAAAAAGCTGATGAAATAGTAGGTTAGGCAAAGCTGTTCCCAATTACACCTGCGCTTTGCACCAGCAAACATCACATACGGTGTCCCACAGCTTGCTGGAGCAAGCCGCTGCACCTCAGCGCAGGCCTCTCGCTGCCCACCTCCCAGGCGGTAAGCTCAGGAACTGAGTAGCCCTATGGACACGGAAGCAGCCAGGGCCACCTGGGCATTTGGACCTCAAGGTCTTTGACCGAAGAGTTACAGCCCTGAGGGGACCTTTCCCTGCAGCCGCCTTTCACCAGGCTTCCCCAGGGCCTGCTGAGCTCTCAGGGGACTTTGTCAGCAAGGCACTCCGTTTTGTCCCTCCTCAATTAGGCTTTCTATTTAAAGACATTTGTAGAAATGCCTGTCTCAGGCCCTGTTAAATCTGGTCAGAAGAGGCGAGACGCTGAGCCACCCGATCTGAAATGACTGGGAAGGAAGAGTTGGGAAGAGGCGAGCGGGCGGCGTGACTGTGCTCGTCTCGTTTGCTTAGCAAATATAGGCAAAACCCGAAATAACTCTGCCAGCTAAATTGAGCTCAGGGGATTCGCGAGGGATTTTGCTCCGTATCCGTAGTGGGAGAGGACGAATGGGGGTTTGGCTGAGGACGGACTTTGGCCTGGCTGGGGCAAGAAGACCTCACAGCCCAGGACGTGCCACCACCAGCAAGGGTGGCTGGTAAAACAGGCTTGACAGGACAAGGGGACGTGGCTTTAAACTGGCAGAAGGTCGGTTTGGACTGGAGATAAGGGAGGAATGTTGTACAATGAGGGTGGTGGGACACAGGAGCAGGCTGCCCAGAGAAGCTGTGGCTGCCCCTGGCTCCCTGGCAGTGTTCAAGGCCAGGTTGGATGGGGCTTTGGGCAACCTGGGCTAGTGGAGGGTGTCCCTGCCCATGGCAGGGGGTGGGACTGGATGGGCTGTGAGGTCCCTTCCAACCCAAACCATCCTATGCTTCTATGAAAATCCAACTTCTTCTTCTGTAAGGTCAAGCAACCTTACAGCCTTACCAGCCTGCGGTTCACTGCTGTACCGCCCAAGCCCGTGGGCTCAGCTCCTGCTGAGCCACCACAGGCACGGTCAGAGAGCAAGAGGGAAACTGAGGCACAGGGAGGGGTTTCGGTGGAGTCATACAGGCGTGTGCCGTGCTTGTGCAAGCGATGCCACCAAAAGCAGCACTCGGGTGATGGATTTCTCTGCTCCAGCACAGGGCGCAATGTCCCTCTTCTCTGTGGCTTCTCCCCAGGTGGGGAGGACACCGGTGGCTTTTCTGGAGGCAGGGGTGCATGCGGCAGCATCCTCCTCCCGGCTCAGGTGTTTCTGCCAGGTTGCACCCATCGCAAACCCAGCCAGGTTTTTGGACCAAAGATGCCTTGGGAGGGGGAGAAACCCTCCAACAACCAGCAGATCTTTACAAGGGGAGGACGATTTCTGCATTCCAGCCTAATTCACACAAGAGCTCTGTGCTACCAATAAACTTAATGATTTTTCTCTCCTATTCACTCTCCAGCACCAAGACCTTAGCACGCAGCGGCAGAGCGGCACACAAAAAGCTCTCCCAATCGCTCCTGTTCCTATGGCAACCCTTCCTCCTCCTCCTACTCTCCCCCCATCATGTTTTTAGACGAAACAACAAAATACAAACTGAAATACTGTGAGTGCCCGCAGCTCTCCGGATACTGCACCAGAAAAGTTTGCAGAAATTATAAACCCCAATTCTGCATTGTGGTGGTTTCACTTGATGTTGAAATGTCCTTGTTTAGCTACTCCTGGCAAACCATGGTCCAGCTTGAAAGAAGGTGGAAATGCCAGTAAAAATGCAGAAAACAGTCTCATTAACAGCCCAAAGTCTCTCAGTTTGCTTCAAAATAAGGAGACCTTCCATAAAAACGGGAGGGTGATTAAACCTTGCGATGGGGAGAGAAGTCGGTAACATTTTGTGAAGGGTCAGAAGGTCTTTGTGGGAGTCTGATCTTCCACCAAAGTCTAGCCAGCTCGCTCCGTGCCGTTGGATGCACCTGAGCATCGCAGTAGCAACCCCCAAAGCCCCAAAACCACATGGTTTAACAGCAACATGAGGTAGCTCTTCATTGCCCTGAAAAGCCACCCAAGCTGGTGCCAAATCTCACGCAGAACCTCCCTCTCCAGTTTTGACCATTACATAAGTTTTACTGTTACTGGGCAAAGAGGAACGAAAGTCCTTACGGTAAACATCAGCTGGCAGCCTCCCAGGATGTAGTCCAGGAAGGAGAAATCTCTGGTTATCTGAAAGGACAAAGAATAATAAATGTTTCAGCAATCTTCACCATTGCAGAACACAAAAAACCCAACCCCCCCCCCAAAAAAAACCCCAAAACACAGAAGGTGCCCAAGCCTGCAGTCACTGCGAGTTGGGGCCTTCGGGGACCTTCAGCAAAGCAGATGGGAAGAACCACTTGGGTCTCCCATGGCAGCAGTTTGGCACCTCACAAGACACGTGAGGCCAAGCAGGGCCACGTGTTGGTCAAAAGCTGGGGTGGGAGGCCTGGACAGGGATCCCTGAGTCATGGTCTGTCATGGTGAACTGAATGGAAGATCCTCTCCCCATGGCCAAAATGATCTCACACCACCTGCAGATCTGGTGCGGGAAGAACTATGTCGGTGCATGGCGTACGGCGCTGTGCTGCTGCCATACGAAGGGAGGACTTCACCAACACCTCAGCTCAGAATAAGGACCTCTCCCACCTGCACCCAACCCTTGCCCCCAAGAAGACACCAAGTAGTCGGTAGGTGTCTGCAGCTTGGGCTTCATGCAGAAGCTGCCCATGTTGACCACATCTCTTGGGTCTGCGGCCACCCAGGCAGATCCGATATATCAGCTGCTCCAGGTGGAGAGAAACCCAAGCAGAAAGGAGATCACACTTTCATTCCTTCTCCACAGGTCCTGTGCCTGGAAACACAAGGGTGCTGGAGGCAGAAGGGATGAAGGGAGCTTGGTAGGACCTGAGCTTGGCCAGGAGCAGAAGCAAACATCCCAGCATCATACTCACTTTGCAGGACTTGACAATGATGATCCCAGAGTTCTTGTAATTCTTTTTCTTCTTTTGCTTTTTGGGGTTAATGCACTCTAGCTCAAGCTGTAACATGAGAGACAGACACTGGTGTGAGAGCTGGGCTGTGACGGGTGGCTGCAGGTGCCACCAGCGGCCGCATCCTGCGGGAACCCTCCCTCCAAGCGTTTCAAATTGCTGAAGAGGCATAAATGAATCACAGCTAGCTATTGCTATTTAATGATGGAAAGAGAGGCGCAGGACCTGCTTGGGAAGGGGCTGCTTTTCCTTCCCAGGGGCTTTCAGGATGAGGTTACGGGGATCTGTGAGATGGGATGGGGCAAACGGGATGGGACAGGTCAAACACATGAATAATTAGGGCAGGCCATCACCTTTCCTCAAAAGCTCTGGGAAAACAAAATGACTTCTGAACATTCAGAAAATTGCTCCAATGTTTCAATTTGAAAAAAAAAAATAAATCTAAACCCGAATAAAAACTCTTGTCCAGGAAGAAAGTTTACATGCAGGTTGGTCTGGGGGAGATGGCAGGAGTGAGCTGGGGGGGGAGCACGGAAAGAAAGTCACATCCATTCTTCCAGGTGCAGAAAAATGGGAACATTTAAATAGTAAAATCTTTACGTTTCCTGAATGTGAACATTGCGTTTCACAGACTGAACAAAATCAAAATATAGATCTAGTAATAAAATCCCCTAAGTCCAAATAAACCCAGGCAGATGGTCCAGCCCAGACCCACTAGCAGGTAGCTCCCACATGGGTCCATATGTGTCCCACATGGGATGGTGGTGGCCAGTCTGTGCCCCCTCCCCCAGTGTTCTGCTCAGACCATCCCAGTGATGGCCCTGGACATGTTCAGACCAGCTGGTGATGGCCCTGGACCTGCTCAGACCAGCTGTTGATGGCCCTGGACATGTTCAGACCAGCTGGTGATGGCCCTGGACCTGCTCAGACCAGCTGTTGATGGCAATGAGCCTTTCCCCGCTCTTAGCCAGGCTGTGGCTGGCTGGTGCTGCTCCTGCCTGCAAGCACACAAGCACATGGCACCTGGTCTACAGCAAGAGCATCTCTGTCCCCGCTTCTGTATTTACCCTCATCAGCGTGGCCACACAAAAAGATGAGACAGGTCATGAGGAGCCACCCTAGGGAGAAGGGATGCTGAAGGGTGGTATGCAGCGGTGGTGAGCAGTGGCCACGTGCTTTTGGAGACACCTTCCTCTGCCCGGACCCCACTGCAGCTCCACTCAGAGAGTGGCATCAGCTGGGGAACAGCTTTACGGGGAAGGGAGGGCGCGAAGCATTTCGTGACAAGCTAGGCAAGGGCAAGAGGCGGAGAGAGTCCGTCCCCAGCTGGAGCCACGTTGCGCATGGCAGCACACAGCACAGGCACGCAGCAAGGCGAGTTTTACTCTCTGCTAACCAGCACGGATCAGGGTCCGGTGGAGAGACAAGAAGATTTTATTGCTAGGCTGGCAGGTTGCAAATCCAGTGGAAAAACAGGCTCAACACCTGTCTCTGGCGCTATCAGCTTGCGCGGTCCTGGGCAGGGCACTTCATGCCTTTGTGCCTCAGTTTCCCCAGACAGGAAACTTTTCTTATTGCACCACACGAGGTGCAATACACATCCCCACGTCTCGGCCAAGACCTCCTCTTGGTTTTGTAACTCTGGCGATCATGGCAGCAAAAAGCCCTGCTTAATCCAGGAGTCTTCATGACATGCCTTCAGTGAGGAGGCATCTGCCAAGGCTTTTGGCCAGCATTTTGAGGGGAAGATGGGGACACCTTTGGCCACAGTTGCGCTGGAGCTGGGTCTCCTTTGGACCAGGCTGTCCGTGCAGCAGACACAGCCCCAGCAACATGTCACACCTCTCCTTCTCACCCCCAAAACCACAGGGCATCCTCCAGATCACGGGTGCTGCTTCAGTCATCTCAGCAGAGCCCAATTTTAGCCCTTTCTAGCTACAACACTGGCCTGGGTCACTCACGGTGCAGGTGGGAGGAGAAAGGATGTTGGAGGTTGGACTTGGCTTCTTCTCAGCACAGGTTGAGGGTCTCGGTGCAAGTACCAAAGTCCACCGTCAACCCCGAGGAGCCCCTTCCTCGTTCTTCCCTAAAAGCGTGTCGGCACTCACCGGCAAGGCATCTTGGGCTTCACACATCCTGGCCACCGAGGTCTGAAATTCCCCGATGAAGTCGTGTCCCCCATCGCTGTCGTAGTCGTAACACATCACCTAGAGCGGAAGGAGCACAAACCAGCCTCAGACACAGTAACCACCTCCTGCAAGGAGACCTGATGAAGTTCCCAACCTCTCCTGTTAGAGACCCCAAACATGGTTTTTTGGGGGTTTGGGGGTGGTTCTGATGTTTTTTGTTTGTTGCTGTTTTTTTTAATAAACCAGCCGTGGGGTTTTAGAGGTTTAGCGATCGATCCCAGAGGCCGACCACCACGATGCAAGCTGAAGGGCCCCCCATTACCTTTATCAGCTTCTCTACATCTCCATCGCACAGTGACACCAAAGGCACGGTGAACGGCTTCCAGACGGGGTCCAGCGTGTACTTGATCACCTGCAGGGTGGGAAGGGAAGGGATATCATTACAACGGACACGCCTGCAGGGAGGGACTGGTGCAAAGTGGGCACACATCTCCAAGAGCGACCCTGGACCAGGTTCTCATGCTGCAGCATGTGCGAGTTACAACAGAGGCGTTTGCATCACGTTGGGGGGATTTAATCACCTCTGGGGGCAATTAAACAAACCTGCGCCCTACTCATTGCTTACTACCACCCAGCACGCCAGCACAGCCGACATCCATCTGGGGTCTGACCACCGAGAAGATGGAGCAGCAGGATGCCGCATCCAGCTGGGAAAGCCAAAAACAACCCCGGGCACGTCCAGCTCTCTTGCCTCATCTGCGTAACATCTGCTGCCCGAGCTGGAGAAATATTAATTGATGCTTTTTGACATTTCCTGAGAGGACGCAATAGCTTGGTGGAAACTTCAGCAAACGCTTGCAGGCTCCAGGCACGTGCTGTGTACGTCGGAGATGCCTGCAGGGCAGGTGAAGCCCCTCTTTCACAAAGGTGTTTTGCTCAAAAAGAGAGATTCCCATCAATATGAGGAAAGTTGGACACAGGCAGCAGATTAACCCTTCTCCGCGCAGGGTAAACATGGGGAGGTCTGGCAGGGAGGACCTTGGACCTTTGCAGCCAGAGCAGCAACAGTGCAGCCCAGTGAGGAAGAGGTCCACAGTGGCTGCTGCAGGCAAACAGCCGCGCAGGACCCGAAATGGGCGTCTTGTTTTACAGACAGGCTCTTGCACGAGACCGGGGGAAACCCTGACACTGCGAGCACAGTTTAGTCGAGAATTTGTAAACAACTCCTCCAGGAGGCTGGGAAGAGCAGGGGGGAGCCCACGCACCCCGAGATGGTGCCTGCACGCTGCCAGCCGCCGGGTCCCCGGGGTGGGTGGGGAAAGGATCCGGCGTCCCCGTCGCACGGCGCCCAGCTGGGTGTTCACACTTGCGCTTCAATAACAGGCTGTAATGAGCACACTGATCCTTCCCTGCCAGACACCTCCGCGGTGGCATGAGAAACGCCAGCGTCAGGCTGAGAGCTGGTTACATTCCTGCACCCAAAGCTGCAAGAATGAGGAACCTTATTTCTTTGTATCCGACCTCAAAACACAAAGGTGCTTTCTTGGCACGGGATTCCTCCACGGGCAGCAGGACGCAGTCGGGGCTGGTAAGGAGGGGGATGTTGGAGCACCCGTTACTTGAAAGAAAACCTGGCTAGACCCTTATCCAGCAAGACAGGACAGTGGCAGCAGCCCAGAGGAAAAATCAGTCTATACATCTGCTCCCCATAAACCTGACCCGCTTATAGTGATCCCAGCGACGGCTGGTCTGCAGCCACGCTCCCAATTCCCACGCCTCTTCCGGAGAGGAGGGCTGGAGGTCACCCCAAATCCCCATGCCTGAGAAACACGTCTTGGTGAGCCAAAGAGCAGCTACCCACACTAAACCAGGAGGAAAAAAACCAAACGAGGTCCCAGGCTGCTCCCGCAGAAATACGAGAGAAATATTGAGGTTGGTACAAATCAAATATGCACAGAAACGTGTGTGGGAAAGCACTGGAAAATAAACAGCAGAGCTAGGCTTAAAAGGACTGCCTGTATCGAGACCAGAGGACACATGTCCTGGTGCTTGTCGTGGTGCTTGTGTTCCCGTGGGTGTGCGAGTGAAGGAAATCCTCGTGGCCTTTGCACAGCAGTGGGAAAAAACAACGTATGGAGAGACTTTGTAAATAAATACCACCCTCTCCTTCCGCATGAGTTCACGCTGTGTTTTGTTACAGCAGTTTGCTGCGGTGGGACAGCAAGCTCCTTAACCAAGCCTTGAGGGGACAAGGAGAAGAGGGGGTGAGATGGGGACAGGAGGAAAAGGGTGGGAGATGAGGTGTGATGGGACCCTCTTGCTCCGACACGGGGGTTGCTGTGAGCCCGTCCTGCAGCTATCGCCCCCTCCTCTCTCCGCCAGCTGCCAGGAGCTACATGCAAAAAAAAAAAAAAAAAAGCCTTGAAACAAGTTTGAGGAGGGGGGAGAAAAAAGCTGTTGAAAAGTAGTTACTAGTCTGGTTTTAAAGCAGAAGCCAGCCTTCTGCCTCTCCCAGCAAATGCCCCTGCGGGCACGCTTCTCCCTGCCCGTGCTCTGCCTCTGATTCGGAATGTCGCTGGCTTCAGCAGCTTGACAACATGACCAGAAGGGAGCTCCGATCAAAGTATCACAGCGGGTATAAGTGAGGGACAGGGAGGGGTCAGCTGCCCCGGACCGTACCCCCCGGGACCCCAGTACCTCTGCCTTCTCAGCCGGGGCTCAGCCGTGAGACACCAGCCTGAGTGCTCATGCGATGAAGCTGGAGCTGCCTGAGCTTCCTCCCAGGTGAGCTGAGGACCTGGCAGATGCTTGTTTTAAGATTTCCCCACTACCGTCCCCCTGGGCCGCATCCCACCACCTCTGTCCACCACCTCCCCAGGTCACAGCTCATCCTGCTGCTCCTGCATGTGGAGGGTGAGTGGTCCAAGGCACAGCCCGTGCCCAGGGTTAAAAGACCATCTCCCTCTCTGCTTGGTAGATACAGTAGTGAGTAGTACAGAAAAGATCTCAAGACCTTACTGGCCTCAGTAAATCTTCATCTGCTGGAGTCCAGCAGCCTCAGCTGGACACCAGGAAGGCAGCCATGAGGTTCTGAAATCCCTGGATCCCACCTTGCTTTGTGGGTGACTGATGAGATAATGCCTAAAGGGCAAAAGGAGCAGGTGTAAGGATGGTGGTGTCTCAGCAGCTTGGGCTAGAGTCGCGCTCACCTCTGTTCTGTGGACCAGCATCCACTTCCCATCATCACCTGGTTTATGAAACTCCAAGAAGGGGTCTGACTTTCCAAACAGGTCCTGGAGGAGAAGAACAGGATGGGTTACATGGTGCTTTACAAGCAGCTGGTCCAGCGAGAGCCGGTCCGAGAGAGACCTCCTTCCCCGTCAGTGCCAACCCTGCAGACGCCCTCATGTCCTCACGAGACTGGCTCAAGCACACTGGCAAAGAGGCAGCACCCACGGACAGCACCCTGCCACCCCTCCGTGTCCTGGTCACACAGATCACCGCATTTCGGCAGTGATGCGGCAGGCGACTCGGCACCCCAGCACATGCCTGTGGGTTTTGCCGGCGGACACCCGCCACCCAGCGAGCTCTCTGGATGTAGATGCCATGGAAAATAACCCCAGCTGGGAGGCAGCTTGGAAAAACATCCAAAGCTTCAAAGGAAAAACAGAATTATGAAGTGCATGAGTGTCTTGGGGGGAAAAAGGAAAAAGAACCCAACTCCTACACACAGCGGTAAAGCACGAGCAGAGGAAACCTTTAAGGAGCGAGCTGCCCTGGTGTTGACAGAGATCATGTAACACCCTCCGAGATATGCAGCCCTGAGTCAGCGTGTGCTGACTTTCCTGCCAGCGTCGCCTAGATATTCCTCTGATAAAGGCCTGCTGGTTTATGAGAAATATGTACACACATACATGCGTCCCTGCTGGGTATCAGCACGGGGGCTATTTTGGGGCACCCCCAGCCCAGAGAGGAGGGCAACACTGGTGCCACCGACATGGGGGAACTCCAACGTTTCTAAGGAGAACTTCATTCCCATTCAGAAAAACTAAGATGTGGCTAACAAGAAACCAAGCCCAAAATACTACAAATTATTTACCGAGAACTCAAGCCATTTCGGCTGGGTTTTCCTCCCAGAAGGAGGTGGCTGCCTGAGTCCAGCAAAGAGCTGGAGGAACCTCTTATGGGTTTGAACAGGACCTTTTTGGCCTTCCATGTGGTGTGGTGGGGATGCAGGGGGCTGCTCGGGGAGGAGGAGGAAGGATGGATACTCAGGAGCCCCTGTCCAGGAGTTGATGGCTGGGATGGAAACAGGCTCTAGTGATGCCCCAGCAGAAAAACCCATTAATGTTTCAATCCAAATCCTGTTTCCAAAGCCAGCCAGAAAAGTAAATCGCTGCAAAGTGTTTTGGCTTGGAGAAACTATAACCTGCTTCAGTCAAAATTCTTCTGCCAGAAGAGCAGACCATAAAGGCTCACAGGGACACTCTCTGATGAGATGAGGCTATTTTTTTCCTACTGTTTTTCACATGTTTGTGGGAGAGAAAACCAAGCCATTCTTTCTGCAGGGTTACGGTTCTGGCACAGCTCTGTTCCAGCTCACTGCAGGACTCGGTGCTTTCAAGCTTCACTGGTGGACGAAGGAACCAGTGGTGGGTACCTGACCCTGCCTACGCTGGTTTAACCTGCAACCCAACACGGTTTCACCAGTGCTGACCCAGCGTGGGCTGGTGGAGGCACTGGCTCGGATGACAGCGGGGAGCTTTGAAGGATGTCTGCTGCCATCCCATGTGGAGCAGCCTGGTTTGCAAGTCCGGTCAGCCTTGCTCCATCCAAAGCAGGGTGGGAGATGCCTCCAAGCCACAGGATCATGGGCTGCTATTTTAAAACATCAAACCCACAAACATCTCATCCCTGGCAGGAGACGGAAACTGAGCAACCAAAGGAGCTCAGCAGACCAGATCAATCTGCAAACTAGTCCAAGCATCTGAATTATCCAATCTGGTCCTTGCAAACCGTGGACAAGGAGGGCGGAGGTGGCACTTCAACTAGACGCAGCTCCCAAACCATGGCTTCCAGCACAATCCTGTCCCGCAGCACTTGCTCTCCCCCAGCCATGCCCAAGGCACCACACTGCTGCCGTCCCCACAGCTGCGGTGGCACACACGGCTCTGGGGATGTCTTCGCCAGGGCTGGTCCCAGGTGAAAATACCTCCCCTTCTGCAAGTTATTTTTTCTTAAAACAACTCTACCGAGGGCTGATCTGACATAAGGTACAAGAGCCTCAGGCTGGTTCTGCTGCTGACATGCTCGCGCTGTGCAGCTTTGGCATTTAAAGCAAGGTAGTAAGCCACAGGTGGAGAAACCATGGATGTGTGATGGGGAGGAGGACCTGCCCATGGCCTGAGAGAGGTCCTGGCCTTGGGGTGGTCACAGCAGAAGGAGCTGCCTGGGTCCAAGCACAGCTCCAGGCTGCGTTTGCAGCACAGTTACCGGTAAGGGATGCTCGTGGCTTTGGCTTGGTGTGTGCAGCAAGACAATCCCATGGCCCCACCACAAAACCCTGTGAGATCCAAACCTTCACATGATGTCTGAGCCTCTAGCCATGGTCCTCAGCTACCTGGTGCAGGATGGTGTTACCCTCCCAGGCTGCAGCCTTACTCCTGTAGTTTTTTTTGCTTAGCTGCGTCTTCTGCCCCATCTTTCCTAAGCTTAAATGAGTTTTATCCACTCCCATGGTTGCATTTTCATCCATGGCCAATAATGACCCAAAAATACTGAGGCTTGTCCAATTTCCTTGTTCAGAGACCATTTTAATTTGTGTTCTGCTCTGAAGTGGCATCAACATCCTTTGCCCATGAGCAGGATTTTGAGCACTGCAATGCTGCGCTGCGTTATGGGAATCAGCAAAGAAACCTCGTCTGCTCTTGGTAACGGCAGGTGGTCACAGGAAGGAGCTTTCTGCTGACCTGTATTGATAAACTTGAGGGATACCCAGAAAGAACAGGGTTATTCACAGTCCTTATCCCAGCATAAGCTGAATTTCTGTACCTTGACTGTGGGTTTGAAGGGCAGCAGACCCACAGGTATCATGTCCTAGTTGAAGAATATCAAAAGATGTCACCTTTGCATAACCTGGTAGAGGAATTTGGTTGCAAACCAGGTTAGAAAAGCAACTCCTGCCCATGGAGCAAGTGATGCCACCAATGAAGTTGCCAGTACAACAAGTGGACGTATGCCTGAGCTACCAGCATTGCAGAGAGGACCCAGGTCCTTGGCCCTGCTCTTCACAATGGCCACAGCTGCAAAGGGGCCCTGAAGTATGAAGGAAGGGCACCAACCCCGCTGTGAAAGCCCAGCCCTTGCTTTGCGAGGGAGCAGAGGCTTTTTCTTGGGGCACTGGAAGAAAACTGTTGCATTAGGGATGTCTTCATTGGCATGCATGGGCCATGTCTCAGATGAAGCCACCAGCTTGAGGACATCTTCCAACCCATTTCTGAAATGGAGTTATTTGGGGATTCCTCAACAGGGGCGTTTGGCTCCTAGCACTGGGCAGGGTAAGCAGGAGAGTGAGAAAACAGCCATTCCCCACAGGTCGGGAAAACACTTGCATAAACTGGACATCCATCCAGTTTGGACAAACCACATCTTCTGCTCCAGGAAATACCCTTCTGCCTGGAGGCTTGCTTTAACTTGCTTTGAAAACTGAGGGCCATCCTGCCAAGAATGCAAGAGACTACAAAGAAGGGGAAAATAATATTCCCATCGATCGCTTAGCAACAGCACTGGTTTAAGAGGAATAGCTCTGGTTGCCTGGTAAGCAAGGTCAGATGGCTTTGTTCAGAAAGGCTCACAGTTTCCTGCGTATCATACCCAAGGCAAAATTCATGTATTACCTGCCTCCATGAGATCAACGCTTCTTCCTCGGAAAAGACGGGCCCTACTGTTTGATATACAAGCAGATGTTTGCTCCACTTCCAGAGGGGCTGAGGGCCACAAGCCAGGAGCTCTCAGCACTTCTGAAACATGTCCAAGGGGCATCGATACCCCCAGCTCCATCAGGAGACACTTCCAAACGACAGCCACTGAAGTGGTAAATCTGGTGTCTAGCGCACAGATCCTGTGCCACACGTAGACTTTCCATCTCAACACGCGCGATGAAGAAAGCAATACTGTGACAATAGGGAAACTGAGGCATGGGCGTACCCAGACCTCCGGTCTCACCCTGCTGCTTTCTCCAGCAGGACTATTTTCTGTCACTGCTATACCCAAAAGCAGGGATTTCTTTAGATCCCTTAGCCTACAAAGGACAGACATTGCATCCCCCAGACACAACCCCACTCACCTTCTTATCCAGTTTTCTGCCGGCCATGCTCAGAGTTATCACCCTGTTATCCGAGAGCTCTTGGGCAGCTATCTGAAAGACAAGGGAAAGCTGCACTCATTCTCAGCACGACAAGTAAGTGAACAGCAAGCCAAAAGCCAGAAGAGAATCCAGACCCTGAGGTCGTGCTCTGTGGAGATACCTGCACAACTCCTTCAAAATCTGCACAACTCCTGCAAAACCTGCACAACTCCTGCAAAACCCGCACAACTCCTGCAAAACCCATTTCCCAGCTGAGAGATCGGATGACCCAATGCACACGATATTTCACTATTGAGGACTTAAACTAATTTTACCTTTGCAGATCAATTTGGGACCAAAGCCTGCTTCCCAGCTCTTCCCTGGAATGGAGAAAGATGGAGGAAAAGCCCAAATTGCCCCTGGCTGGGCATTGCCATCTACCCTGGGCCGAGGCAGCGACACGCACCGGCTTTAACACACAGCAGGATGTTTTCTTAGCAGGCTACCAGCTACGGTAGAGGTGCTGCAGCTGGAGCCCCCGGGACACCCACTGACCCCCACAGCCCCATCGCTGGGGCTGAGTCCATGTGAAACACATTTGTTTGCAGGGCTGGGAGTTGACAGGTACGATTAAACCTCTCGAGCGGACAATTTGAAGGGAGAATGAGCTGCCAGGACATCTCAAGCAGTCTCCTTCCCCGGTGCCATCAGGTCTAAAATGATGCTTCTGGTAAGAAACTCATCCCCTTTCTTGGGTCTCACGTGGCTTTTCTGCACCAGGGCTCGTTCAGAACATGGAGAAGCCTCCAAGGACCAAGCCAAGAGGAAGCAGGAGCCAGCAAGATGTGCCACCTCGTCCTCCATGTCCCAAGCTGGGCATGGCAAAAAGCAGCTGCTCCATCCCTTGGGGGAGATGCCGGTGGCACCAAGGACTCAAGGTCTGTCTCCGCACCATCACTGACGAGACAGGCCCAAGGATGGAAACGCCAGCGTTGCTCCTGAGGAGCTACAGCAGGCAGGAGTGCAGCCCGGATTACTTCAGTTGAGGAGACTTTATTCACATACACTCCAGAAGGGCTTCGGCTGCCAACCACCAGTGGGCCGGTTTTGTCTGGAACGTGGTCTAATGAGTCTCCTGGTATTTTAAGAAAAGGAATGTTTATAACAAAAACCCCACATTTATTCACTTCTGTTACCAGCCATTTTCTGAATCACTTGCATTTTTTTTCCTCAAGGCTGTGTCCTGCCCAAGAATCTGCTCCCCACCTCTCCCTCCTCCGGGCCGAGCAGTGCCCCAGCATCCCTGGCCACAGCATCCTCCCCGGGCAGGAGCCGGCAGCACGGCGCAGACATTTTCCTCGGGCACAGTGCTCCCAAGCACGGCCATTTGCTGGCTCGCACAAGGAGGCTGTCCTTCACTGGAGATACGCAGCGTAATTACAGCAAGGCTTTTAGAAAAACTTGCAGAAATCAAGGGAACAATTTTCTGCAGAACAAGCAATCAGAGGGTTGTTGGCACTTAGGAGAGCAGGGAGTTTGCAGAGACGAGGAGGCAGAGATGCAGCTTTTGAATCCACCTGGGGATGAGCCGCAGGTCCCCAACGACCTCCCAGCCTTTCCGGGGAGGACATCGCTCTTTGGGGCACAGAGGATGTGTTCACCACATGCAAACCCCAATGTTCCTCTGTGCCCCACACAGCCACGAAGTCAGAAGTTCCCTACTGCAAACCCATGGTGTCGGTTTTCTCTCCCACCTAGTCCTTGATGGGTGCGCCCAGTCACCAAAACCAGCGTGAGGAAGAGGAGCTATAGGGAAGTGGATGAAATTCACCCTTTGCTGATCCCCACAAAAGCACGTCCAGGTGGTGTCCAGCATTTTAGAGCTCACTGGAGGCTACGTAAAAGCCAGACCATGCAGACACACCAGGTATGTCCTCATGCCACACTGCTGCAGGCTGCTGGTGGCATCTTGGGTGTTCATCTCTTCTCCCAAGTAACTAGTGAAAGGACAAGAGGAAATGGTCTCAAGTTGTGTCAGGGGAGGTCTAGACTGGGGATTAGGAAAAATGTCTTCACGGAAAGAGCGGTCAGGCATTGGAACAGGCTGCCCAGAGAGGTGGTGGCGTCACCATCCCTGGAGGTGTTCAAAAAAATGTGTGGATGTGGCACTTTGGGACATGGTTTAGTAGGCATGGTGGTGTTGGGTCAATGGTTGGACTTGATGATCTTAGAGGTCTTTTCCAACCTTAAAGATTCTATGATTCTATGATTCTATGATCTTCTCTTGGCCAGTGTGGACAATAACAATGTCCCCTCCACAGCAGGATCCTGGGATTGATTTCTACAGTGGCTCACTTCGGGATTTTCCCCATCTCTTCAAACCTAGGGACCCCCATGTGATCCCGTCCACCCAGCCAAGGTACTTCTGTTGCATTCACCCCTGTGGCATCTCAGTTAAGAAGGATACTTGGGCAAAATTGAAGGGGATGGGGTGAGGAAGGCAGGGTTTGGCTCCAAACTCCATGTTTTATGTGAGTGAGTCCAAAGCAGAAGCCTGCTCCTCCGATGGTGTCCATGGCCGTGCCCAGCAGCGAGGAAGGATGCCCACCATCACCAAGCCAGGGCAAAAAAACCCCCCAGACCAGATCAGAAAATTGCATCAATGGTACAAAATGAAGCAGATGTCTCAGACCCTTTGATTTTTAATGCCACATTAGTGACAGATCAGGACCTTCCTTTTTTTAAGCGTGTAACCTTTGAACTTGACCGGAAACTTCTCATCTGGTCCAGCTCTTCCCACTCAAGCATCAGCCGGGGTGTTGACGTCGAGTTCCCCGCCCCTTGGGGATGGCACGTGGCATCAGGCACTGCTTGCGGACTTCACTGCAGCTTTTCCTCTGGCATTTAAAGACTGACTCCAGCAATTAGAGAAAAGCTGGGCAGCATCTTCCCATCTTCTAGAGCAAACAGCGATGGAGATGCCCTCGCAGCAGCCAGGTCCTGGGTTTTTAAACCACTTTTAAACCCTTCCAGCGCTTTTAAACCTGACGGAGGTTTAACTCCTTGCTGGCCTTTTCTTCCACACTGTTGCTGCCCGGCTGCGCATCTCGCAAAACGTCTAACACAGAAGAGACCCGAAAAGGATGGGAGATGTGGCAGGAGAGAAACGCACATAAATTTAGCCTTTTATTTTTAAAAAAAAAGTCACTAAAGAGATCCGCAGCGGGAAGGCCACTGCCCGAAGGGGTCTGCATTGGGAGCAGCGGCTGTTGCTATGAGAATTGTTGCTACGGCATGGCTCCCATCCTCTTCCCATAAACAAAACCGCCCATTGCTGGCAAAGGAATCAGCCCTCTCACCTCCCGCCGCGCCAGGGAGGGCTGAGCACGCGTGCTGGACCAGATAACAAACCACCGCAGCATAGACTTACTCTCTGCTTCTCCAGACTGAGGTTTTTCTTAGTTCAGAGACCGAAGCAGAGGTTGAGGAGTCACAGCGCTGAGCACCAGGCAGACACTGGCCAAGACACTGGCCCCAAATACATCGTCCTCCAAACAGACCAAAGTGGGCGGGAAAGTGGGAGGCAAAGGGAAAAAATGTTCACGAGATAAGCCCCAGTCTCCTGGCCCCCAGGTGAGTGTCCTGCATTGCCCCCAGGTTGTTATCTGTTGACAATAACCTTTGCACGCCTTTACATGCTCAGTAGGTAACGTAAGGAGTAACCGTACCGTTATCATCCCTTTCCCAGCCGGCTTGCCGTTCCCCAGAAGGAGAGTCCTTGTTATTTTCTTGCTGGAGACGATCTAGAGAAGCCAAAGAAAGTAAAATCATGATTGTACAAGTGATCAAAAGCAGACTCATAAGCAACTGATCATTGCTCATGTTCGTTAATTCAGATTAAGCATTCACAACAGTAGAAGACAGACATCATACTGAGGGATGACCATGAGACTGTGAATGTCACCACCCTCACCCGAGTCCGTGGGGTGCAGGGCAGCAGCTGAACGGTGCAGAGCAGCGACGGAGCAAGAGGGTGAATCACCATGTCCTGTTGAACCCAGAGACCAGCTCTTTGCGTGGAGCAGGTGGGTGGGACCTCACACAGCCGAAGGACCGTGATTTCTTCCCAGAGAAATCACAGCTCAACCTTTCAAACCTTGTTTTAAACACTTCTGCCATGAGCCCTGCCAGCAACTTGCTTTTGGGCCACGTTTCCATGGACAAATCCTGATGACAAGCCAGATGCTCTCCCCCAGCGTCGTTCTGGACCCCCTGCACAACTGCTGCTGAGCAAGGCACAGGGCTCAGCACCCCCCAAAGACATGTTCTCCCCTTCACTTCTGGATTTTAAGAGGCCAGACAGGACGATCTGGCTGCTGAGCTTGACATTATTCCCTAGCTCACTGCATTTCGGTCACCTCCAGATCTGCAGATCCCATAAGTTTTCCCCACAAGGCACAGACCCCCGTATTGGGGTCCAGCTGGAAGTAGCTGTGCTCTGCTCCCACACCTCGTGGGGACCCCTTCGAGATCTAGGGGGCTGCAGTTTAAAAAGTGCAGTCCCATCCATCCTCCTGCCTCCACCTTTGGTCCTATGTCACACAGTCAGAAAAAAATAATAATTAAAAAGACCATGTAAGGAAATGGCTTAACTTGTTGCTCCTGCCATCCAGGTGACCCAGCCATGCTTGGATTCCTCCCACTGCTCCCCAGAAATGTCCTCCTCCCTCCGGGGAGACCTTATTGTGGCCTTTCAATACTTAAAGAGGGCTTATAAGAAAGATGGGGACAGGCATTTAGTAGGACCTAAAGCAACAGGACAAGGGGTAATGGTTTTAAACTAAAGGAGGAAGACAATCACCGAGGGAGGGGATTCTGCCCCTCTACTCCGCTCTGGTGAGACCCCCCTGCAGTGCTGCGTCCAGCTCGGGGGTCCCCAGGACAAGAAGGACATGGAGCTGGTGGAGTAAGTCCAGAGGAGGCCACGGAGATGATGCGAGGGCTGGAGCACCTCTGCTATGGAGACCTCAGGCTGAGAGAGTTGGGGTTGTTCAGCCTGGAGAAGAGAAGGCTGCGGGGAGACCTTAGAGCCCCTTCCAGTCCCTGTTAAAGGGGCTCCAGGAAAGCTGGAGAGGGGCTGGTGCCAAGGGCAGGGAGTGACAGGCCAAGGGGAATGGCCTGAAGCTGCAGGAGGGGAGATGGAGATGGGATGTGAGGCAGAAATCCTTCCCTGTGAGGG